TGTACAGGTGTCAGCAGGGCAGAGGACAGGGGACATCCAGTTAGGGTACAGTGTGTTGGCAGGGGAGTGTACAGGAATGTGTAAAGCAGAGGACAGGGGCTTTGGGGAATGGGGGGGGGGGGGGCAGCTCATCCCAGCACCCCCTAGATCTGACCTAGATTGCTCTTTTGGACAGAAATGATTAGTACAACATTTAAGAAGATGCCACATAATGAAGAGGATGTGAGCACTGAATGATAGTTGCTCACACACAATGGCGGATACATGTCCTGCTTGTTTTACATTGGAAATGACATGCAAAACACTTTGAGTAAATTCTCCATTTCCATGCAGTATTTAAAGACGCTTGGTTTCTTATTAAAGAGACCCTGTCGGTAAATTAAAAAAAAAAAATGTAAGTAAAAGAACAGAAATACTGCCAGAGAGTCAATTTCTTAGCACAGCTTCTCTCTCCTTGTATGTCATAGCCCTCTCTTCTTCTAGGAGTATCTAACTACCATCTGTGTTGGTGCAGCTCATCTGCCTCTCTCCTGCTCCCTTCACCTCCCTACATAAACCTTTTATGTAGCTGTTCAGGGAGGAGTGAAGGAGAATGTCACATGAGTGACAGCAGCTCTGAGTCACAGAGATCGTATCCAAGATGGCAGCATCCAGCAGGGCAGACGGATGTGTATACAGTGCCTTGAAAAAGTATTCATACCCCTTGAAATTTTCCACATTTTGTCATTTGTACAAAAAAAAAACGTAAAAGTATTTTATTGGGATTTTATGTGATAGACCAACACAAAGTGGCACATAATTGTTAAGTGGAAGGTAAATGATAAATGGTTTTCAAAATGTTTTACAAATAAATATCTGAAAAGTGTGGAGTGCATTTGTATTCAGCCCCGTTTACTCTGATACCCCTAACTAAAATGTAGTGGAACCAATTGCCTTCAGAAGTCACCTAATTAGTAAATGGAGTCCACCGGTGTGTAATTTAATCTCAGTATAAATACAGCTGTTCTGTGAAGCCCTCAGAGGTTTGTTAGAGAACATTAGTGAACAAACAGCATCATGAAGGCCAAGGAACACACCAGACAGGTCAGGGATAAAGTTGTGCAGAAGTTTAAAGCAGGGTTAGAGTATAAATAAAATATCTCAAGCTTTGAACATATCACAGCACACTGTTCAATCTATCACCCAAAAATGGAAAGAGTATGGCACTGCAAGCCTACCAAGACAATGGTTGTCCACCTAAACTAACAGGCAAGGCAAGGAGAGCATTAATCAGAGAAGCAGAGAGGCCCATGGTAACTCATCTGTCCACAGTACAACATTCCAAGGGAGACTTACAGGTAAATAACATGATCATGAAATATGATCCACTCTGGGATCATGTCTGGGGTCTTCATTAGAGCCACAACAATGACCCCAGATATGGGACACCACTGCTTACTGTTCACTGAACGCTTCCTTTTTGGAAGCCAATGATAAACTCCTTCGGTGGTATATGGTTCCCTCTACAGTTGGCAAGTTTGCACAAGGCACTTCAGATCACTGGTTTTGGGGCTATGGATTGCCTGGTACTCTTAATACATGTGTGGTGGAACTGCCCAAGAATCAAAAGATTTTGGACAAGAGTACATCAGTTGGTTTACACAGTGTAGGGAAATAGTCTCCCCAAAAATCCATATGAGGCCTTGTTAAACCTCAAGCATTCTCCTTGCCCCTCCAACCAATTCAAACTGATATCTTTTATTTTTACTGCTGCTAGACAGACCCTGGCAAAGGCATAGAGATCTGGTATTCCAACCATCCCACAGGTGAAGAAAAAAAATCCCATGGTACTTGTTTAATGAAAAACTTGCAGCTATTTTACATGATGAGCTTAAAAGGTTTAAAAAAAAAAGGAAATCCTTGGTTAACCGATTACCAGGGAGTAATGTTAATCAATTAATTTGGTCTAACTTTCAACAACTAGTTACTTATGGTGTGGTCTATGCGTGGGGACCCGCTTTAGCTCCGTTCCAACTCCTTTCCTTGTACTCTTCTGTTTTTCTTCTGTCTCATTCTCTCTTTTCTTCTTTGTTTAACTTTAATCCAGAAGCCTGATCTCACAGTTGATGCATCTAAAAGCGTCATTCTGTTGTAATAATACAACTTAGGATATTCTTTCTTACACTGGACATAGCAGTGTTGATTATCTCTAGCTGAGGCAGGCTTGCAACCCTGTTGTTGCCACAATTTTTAAAGATGTGACTACCTCCCTCACCATATTGGTTAATGGGACTATTTGAAAGTCTTTAATTAATAGTGATCTGTTGTTGGCTCCCATCTGTCTTAGGGCTGTTTCACACCGCCATTACGCTTTTTTGATGCACCTGAAAGTGCATCAAAATTGCAACATGCAGGACTTTTGATGCACTTTCAGAAAAAAACACACCAAAAACACCCAATCTAAAATATGGCTCACATCTATGCAGGTTTGCGGCCCATGTTTGCATGGGCACAGCTGCCTGTGTCCCCGCAGGAAAAAAGTTTGTGCATCATTCTAAAAACGCAGCAACCATGAAATTGCATGGTGCTTTTGCATAATGCAATTTCCCTGAGGTTCCTGCACCATTAAAAAAACACAGAGGCTAGGAAATCGCATCGTGTTATTGCACCATGATTTCCCTTTTGTTTCTGCACCCGCAAATGCACTGTGTTTTTTTTAGCAAATGCGTGGGGATGCCATTCAGAATGAACGGCAGCCCCACGTATTTTCAAACAGCAGTGCATTTTTACTGTGGGTGGTTTTAGGTGTGAGTGACACCTGCATAGATATGAACCAGGCCTAATAATGGTCTATGGAAAATAGCAGGTAAATTGCACACAAACTGCAGGTTCATTGCGCTGCACCTGTGCTGCTGCCAAACCGCAGCAGGGGAATGTAAAAGGAGCCTTATGCTTTATTACTTACACATTCATCCTTTGTGTAATACTCACATCTTGACATGTTTGGTGTCTGCTTACTTTTCTGCAACATCATATTTTATATAGAATGCATGAAGGTAAAAAATTTTGAGCCTTTATAACCACTTTAAGGGAACCTCTTGTTTTGCACTGCATGGGCGAAGCACGGGTTCACATTAAAGTGGACAAAAACCCTAACACTAAGTATTCTTAAAGCGGAGTTCCAGTTGAATTAAAAAAATAAATTAAAATTCAGCATTTTTGTAAAATGCTAACTTTTAAAATACAGCCACTTGCCTGTCCCTCGGTCAAGCAGTGTCCTCACCACAACTGGTTTTACCAGCCGTCTTCTCTCTCCAGTGTCGGCATCTTCAGTGTGGGCTGAATGTGATAGCTTGCGGCTTCACAGCCGGGTGCCCACTGCGCATGCGCGAGTAGCACTGCGCTTTGTGAATGGTCACATAGTCTTCTGAGACCTGCAATGTGTTCCAGAAGACTACGGGGAGGGAGGGGGAGGATGACTTCCACTTTCGATCGCCGTATGCAATTGCAATGGAAGTTGGAGCGGGTACCTGTATAATTCTGGTACCCCCCCCCCCCCCCCGCTCCCCAAAGGTGCCAATCCTTAACAGGGAGCTGGGGACAAAGTCTTAAATCGAAACTTCCCCTTTTGGGTGGTTCTCCTCGATTAAGAACGTTTCCTCCCATCCTCCTCCTACTTATCCTGCATGCCGTGTGCAAAAGATGATCTGTGTACTTACCTTTTTTTTTTCAATCCAGTCCAGTCAACTGATCCTGCAGCCTTGGCTCTCCTATGTGAAGGCGCATTTAACAACAACCGTAACCTCCAGGAGCCACGACCTCATCCACAGGCTCCCATGGCCCGGTCGTTGTCATGCGCTCCTTCCTTTCCCCTGCAGCAGACGCTCACTGACACAGGGAAGCTGGAGCTGCAGGATCACTAGACCCGGACCAAGTCCTGCATATAGGGTATGAAGGATAGAGAAGAGGAGACGGGAGGAAATGTTTTTAAGAATAGTTAGTGTTAGGCTTTTCTTCCACTTTAAAACAGGTTGTTCAATTCTTTTCTAGGATTCTCCAGATTTTACCTAATTGGGAACTGCTGCTTTTGAGGCCAGAGAACTGCAGCAGCTGAGGCTGTTGATGAGAATTACATTTGCTTAGAATAAAATGACAGCTTTCATGAACTAGCAGGAGCTTATGCTTTCTTATTGTATAAAACTGTTGGGTTGTCCCCTGCTCTACAGCAGACAAGTGAATATACGGAAGCGATTATAAAAGCCTATCAGTTTTCAACGACCCTTAATACATCCCATGGGGTCTAGCTGGAGAAATACATTTCATGCAGTGCTTACTGTTATTTATCACTTGACAAGCATCTCTTGATATCACAGTGCCACCTAATGTCCATTCTACCCATCTGTCATTTCATTGAAGGAAGGTTGTTTCTTTTTATTCAGCAGAATACTATATGAACCACTTATTTATTTATTACAGGTACTTATATAGCACCATTAATTTAGACAGCTTTTTACATATATATTGTACGTTCACATCAGTCCCTAACCCTCAAGCGGCATACAATCTAAGGTCCCTAACTTACATTCATAGATATACATACTAGGGCCAATTTAGACAGGATCCAATTAACCTACCAGCCAGCATGTCCTTGGCGTGTGGGAGGAAAGCGGAGTAACCAGAGGAAACCCACACAGGCACAGGGAGAACATGCAAACTCAAGGCAGGTGGTGGCATGGTTGGGATTCGAACCGATGACCCTAGTACTGCCAGGCGGAAGTGCTAACCATGTAGATACTGTGCTGCCCCACTGTATTTTTACCTAACAAGTGCCTAATTAGGAACTGTATTTGGAGTTTGGTATTTATTATTATTATGTATTTTCTTAATAGAAGGGAAAAGAGATGTAGGACATAATGTCTTTTAGCAATTCTGTACTCTCTTTTTGATTCAGTGTTAAGTACTCCTACCCTAATTTGTACAGTTGTTTTAATCTCTAACTCGTCTACTGCTTGGATTTTCAGTGTCCCTCGAATTCCTTGGGCTTTCGCAATGACAGAAATGTGTGGAGTGGTCCTGTGTTACATCTGGCTGCTTGTACTGCTTCTTCATAAACACAGGTAGTACTTGGAAATGATTATCAACCTATAAGAACATCTTTCATACTTAAAAACTAGTAGTTGTATGACAATATGGAAAATATATCTTTGATTTGAAATTTAGAAAGCAATTTAATCTTTGAAAAACAAGAAATATATGTAACCTGTTAAAAGATAAGGATTAACTTTTTAAAAAAATATTCTCCCCCCTGGCACTCACTACCATCTTAGAGTCTGAAATACCCGCCAATGCATTCTGCCTGGCAATTCAGTAATTGGGTTCCAATAGAGATGCATGTGCTGGAGACCTACTCTTTAACTTGGCGCCTGCAGTCCCATAGACTTTAATTTATACCCGTCAACCAAATAACATGACAAAGAGATGGGAATCAGATACAACCTACCAAGCTGCAGGGATAATACAGATGGTCAGGAGGGAGCATGTTTATTCTTTATTTCTATTCCCACCTTAATCTTTTGTTATTTTATATCCCCCAGCCCATGTGCACCTTTAAAGGATAAGTTCACCTTTGGAACATGTAAATACGGTCCACCCATATTCAGAGTGGAACATGTAATATGTTCCAGCTCCTCTCTCCTTTAATTCCAGTTTCCCCTCCCTGTGACAGCAGATGGGGGATTTTTTTTCCCAGCAAGCGATCACATTTTACAATTGCTCCACCTACATGATCATGTCATTCATTCACAAAGTTCTGTGAATGAATGAACTACGAGTACCGTCAGCCACAGCTGCACATGGCTTGTAGTTCTCGATGAACTATGAGGACGCCGGTGAGCACTCTCATAGTTCTTTGATTCTTCCTGCAGTTCAATGGAAGGTACGGGCAGACAGCTGACTGAGGGTCTGCAGGAGCCTGGCTTTGCATACATGATCTTGTGATGCTTTACAGACTGCAGGGTAAAAAAAAATAATAAATGCATTTTTTTTTTACCTGCAGAAAGATGTGTATTTATTATTCTTTATACAAGATGAACTTATCCTTTAAGTTTAAAGTGTATTTAAAGCCAAAAATAAAAATGCAAATATCTTTACCAGTACTTAGATATGGTGGCTACATATGTTTTCATTTTTTTTGTGGTAAGAACATTTTCAGCAAGTACATAAAATTCCTGTTGATCTTCCCAGAAATGCTGTGTCTAGGTTATATCGTGTGAGCTGAATGGGAAACAAAACAATCTTATCTGTAAATGAATATTCCCTTTAACCCTAATGTAATGGAGATGAACAAGTCCAGCCTATGTGATAATCATGGCTGCTTCCTTAGATGTAAGCACCCAGGGATGGGAAGTGTGTTATTCACAGATAAAAGGAAGCAAAAAGCACACTGACATGGTGCAGTGTAAAAGGGGTTTAATAAACAAAAATCATACAAATGTACTCACAATTGTGTAGTGTAGAAGGTTTGCGGCACATGTCAGTGTCCCAGTAGAAGCCTTCTGCATGTGGAAAGCCTCATTGTGGCCTGAGGTGGTGCTGGAGGCTTAAAAGCTGTACATTTTCAGCATCCCTTCTGCCAAGAAGATGAGAATCTCCTTTCACTTCCAGGCCAGGGAGGAAGGCCATAACCCTTTGTCACATTTGCCCCAACACACATTGCCATAAGAACTGCTTGCAAATTAGAGAAGCTAATTATTAAGATCTACATATACTTTAAGGCCCCTTTCACACAGGGTGGACCCTATTGAGATCAGCTGGTGGTCTGTCTGCTGATCAGAGTGGGCGGATGAGCCATTCGTTTCCGCTCAGTTTCTGCATAGTACACATGGACGGAGCCTGCTCTGTTGTATGGGCAACCAGGAGTTAATGGACTCAGCTGACCACTTACATCTGACTACCCTCCGATCCGCCTAGGCGGAAGGGGATGAATCTCCTTCCATTGTATTTCAGTGGAATGGATCAGACCGGAGGTAGGCAAGGTGTAAATGGACACAAGTCGGTCAATATTGGTGAATAGACTGCCCAATCAGGCCACCTGAAGCTGACAGGCAGACCTGATCAGACCTTTCATGTGAAAGGGGCCTAAGGTTTCTTCTCTTTGTTTTTTTTTCACTTTAGTCACATGCCTTTGAATTTGTAGTATGAACTTTATGCTGCTGTTTCAGCTCTGCTGATCAGTAAATAGTAGGAACCGCTTAAAACTTTGTTTTTTAATGGCACATCTTTTCCTTCTAAAAAATGAATATTAGTGACCACTGTGAGGCCTTAAAAAACTGTAATGAGAAAATATGTCAGAACTCCGGGATTCTGACTTTTCTCTTCCTTTCATTTGCTGCTTGTTTGTTTCTGATCTGTGGCATTGAAGCCAGACATCCAGGCAAATAGCATTTTCAGAAGGACAGAGTGGAAGTTATGGATAGAGTGGGGAAGGGTTAGAACCTCTCTCTGGTTTTTATTGCTGTGTTCCTGCTGGGGAGATTTGAACACATTTAACGGAGTTGCATATACTAATTTCTTTTGTTTCTTTTTTTTTTTTTTGTAGGTCTATTCTGTTACGCCGCCTCTGTAGCTTAATGGGTACTGTGTTTCTCTTGAGATGCGTCACCATGTTTGTCACGTCATTGTCTGTCCCTGGTGAACACCTGCAGTGTTCTGGCAAGGTACTGATATAAATCATTGATTGTTACTAAAAGTGAAATTCCAGTATTCTTAAAAAGCTTGATAAACCCAATTGTTTTCCAGAAGTTGTTCACTGTTTGTGTTATATGATGTAGAAGATTTTTCACTGAGGTTTCCTCTCTCTGGCTGGATTCTCTCATATTTTAGTGTGCTCCTTTTGGCTGAATGTTGCCTTTTGTTTTAGGTTATCAGCCATCTTGTACTGTAAAAGGACAAATATTAAGCAACTGCAGCGTCCTTCAGTACCGGTAGTATTACTTCACTGAAAGGCATTTGCATTTTGCAGGATATCTGTCTTCACATTAAATTACTTCATATCAAACCTCTTTTCAGTGGGTTTAAAGTATAACCCCACCTCCCTAGAAATGTGGCATTGTAAGACATAGCAACATCATTTCGCTAGTCCTGCATAGGCTCTTGATTTCCACATTTGTTGTGTGTTTTTGTATGGACTGGAACAGCACTCTTAATATTTTTTTTAAACTGTGTACCCTTAATTACATTCCCATTTATAGCAACAGATTTTAACCAAATACCCTTGATGTGTGTCAGTTTATGTCAAGTACCCCTTAACTATGTTGTTGTATTTATTGCTCACACCCTATAAGGCTAGCCATACATTATACAATTTTCTTACACTTTTCTGTACAATTCCTTTAGCTTTACCTTCAACTATGTAGTGCAAGGGCCTGCCTACTTGGATACATTTGAAAGTGTTGTTTAAGTTTAACCTCATATTATATGCTTTTTGGTCAATCTAAAGGAAAATTATACAAGTAAATTGTATAATATATGGCCAACCTAAATGTTTAACAGTGCTTTCCAAGCAATCCATCCGGAGATCAAAACAATCAAATAACGGATCTGGTTCCTTTTGTTTAAGAGTTAGGACAGTTTTTCAGAGTATGAGGTGTGTACATGCCTTTCCTGTTGGTAGGATACTGCAGGGTTCAAGATTTCTGTGACAAATTACCTTACAGGAGACTATCTATCTATCTTTATTCTGGTGTCAACTACCAATGGATGGCACCCCAGGAAGCATGATGAAACAGTTGATAAGGGTTTGTTTGCATTGTAGTGAACCTTTTGGAGAAGATGATGTCCTTACTGAGTGCTTACACTCTAGGTACATGTTTTTATTATTGCAGATGGCCAGGTATGGCATGGAGCTGGAAGATGACTAGTCAAAGGAAAGTCTTAGGCTGGTCATAGATTATGCAGTTTTCTTTTCTTCAACCAGAGGTTGAAGAAAAGAAAATCATTTGATTCCTCCCATCAACACAGTCAGTGTTGGTGGGGAATCCCGCCCACTGCGCTCTTGTATTCTGACAATGGAAGGTTTCCCTGCTGTCAGTATACAATGGTCACTGATGCCGGCAGTGATTACACAAAAAAAAACTTGACAGGCTGGTTGTACTGAAGTCCATTGATCGACTTCAGTACAACCAGCCTGCCCATAGATGGATCAAAATTTGGCCAGAATTTTGATCTGTCTATGGCCGACTTTAGAGGTGTCAGAGGTTTACTTTCCTCTTCTAATTACAAAAAATACAACAGAAGATCATGGTACATTCAAAGGTGGGTGAGAACACTCAAAACTCAAAGGTTGACAGAAACAGGGTTGGGTATTATGCTTTTTGCAGGAGTATTCGGGATATACAAGAAAGTTGGGAGAAGACTTATCCCATCAGGTTCTGCTGTGGTCAAAAATAACAGTTTTAGGTAGACTGATTTATTTTTAGTCACTAGACAAATACCAAATGTGCTAATGTGTAGTGTTTGGCAAAATCTGGATTTTTTTTTTCTCCATACTTACCTGTAAAATCTATTTCTTGGAGTACATCACGGGACACAGAGCAAGCTATAATCATGGCTGTGGGTTATGCGCAGCTATAGGTGAATGGACACTGGCAGATCAATCAAACAGGAAGTCCTCCTCTATATAACCCCTCCTATACAGAAAGTAGTTTTGTAGCAAGCAATGAATTCCCAAAAAGAGGGGAGGGGACCTCTGTGTCCTGTGATGTACTCCAAGAAATGGATTTTACAGGTAAGTATGTAGAAAAAATTAAATTTTCTTTATCATACATCACAGGACACAGAGTAGGCTATATTCATGACTGTGTGGTATGTCCCAGAGCAATAAAAGCTGAGGGGTGGAAAACACATCAATAACCACCGCCATCAATTCCAAAGGACCTACTCTGCTGTTCATAATACACTGCGGCCAAAGGCAATTTCCTCTGTGGCTCTGACACCTGGTAAAATCCTGTGAATGTATGAACTAAAGACCATGTAGCTGCCTTGCAAACCTAAGTCACTGACGCCTGATGGTGGATAGCCCAAGATACTCCCACACTTCTGGTAGAGTGCGTTCTCACCCGAAAGGGTGGAACCTTGCCCTTTCAAACTATAGCCTTGAATGTTTAACTAGCAGATCCAATGAGAAATAGTTGGCCTGCCTTTCCTGGGCCCTTCTGGCAGCATTAAACAAGATTCCTGACCTGTGCCAACAAACCCAAGTAAATTCTGACCATCCCAGAATATGCAGCAATTTTTTTTTTCCCCTCCTGATTGTGGACTACGAAAAAAGAAAAGCAAGACACTTTCCTGATTCAAGTGAAAACTAGAAACCACTCTTGGCAAGAAAGATGGATGATAATGCAAGACCAGGAACAACTCCTTACATGAAAGAGCCTCTAGCTCTGACACTCTTCTTGTGAAGTGATTGTAACCAGAGTTTCTTGAATTGGTTCAAAGGGTGGCTTCTGCAAGGACAGCCAAGACCATGTTCAAGTCCCAGGGACACAAGGGTGGCCTGTTAGGCAGGACTATCCACGTTACATCCTGCATTAAGTATGATTTAAGGAGTGAGAAACAAACGGTCTCTGGAAAAAAAATGATGGATAGAGCCAAAATCTGACCCTTAATGGCACTTAAGGCCAATTTAATTTCTCTCTCCCGATTGGCAAAAGGACGAAAATCTCCCAGTCACATATTTCTGCAATTGCCACTTCCTGACTTCACACCAGTCAAATAAAATGTCCAGGTCCTGTAATGGAATCTCCCTGAAGCCAGCTTCCTTGCACTCAACAGTGCGGAGATAACAGGACCCAAGACCCCCCTGATCCTTCAGACCAAGGCTTCAATAGCCAAGCCTTCAATCATAGCGACCATAAAGCAGGATATCCTATTGGACCCAAGACAATAGGTCTGGTTAGACCAGAAGTGTCCACTGCCATATTCACTATGTCTGTGTACCAAGCCCTCCTGGGCTAGGCTGGGCTACCACTATTATCAGTGTTATCACCTCCTGTATCCTGTGTGTAAGACACGTTAATAGTTGAATCGGGGGAAGGCATAGATTAGGGAGAAATGGGCCCTAAGGTGTTACCAGTGCATTTACCCCTATTGCCAGTGGGACTCTTGTCATCGACACAACCTGTCCAACTTGTTGTAGAACCGGGAAGCCAGTAGATCCACATCCAGAGTTCCCCAATGATGGCAGATTGCGGAAAATGTCTCGGGATTAAGGGACCACTGTCCCGGTATTAGCTGCTGAAGGCTGAGGAAAAAAAAACAGTTTTCTATACCTGGAATATATACCACTGACATAGTCTTCTCTGCTGGACTTGGTAATCTCAAACCGTGCAGAGCTTATTATGAATGTCCTTATAAAAGAACATCTGGGTAGCAGTGACCATATCATGATTTAATTTATTGTTAGCTGTAAACATCAAGCACATATGGGAAAAATAAAACCGCTCAACTTTAAGAGAGCTAATTTTCAAAGGCTGAGAGCTGCTCTCCAAGACTTAGACTGGGAGGGAATATTGGCATCGATGAACACAACACAGAAATGGGAGTTCTTTGAAAAGACTGTATGTGAACACACTGCAAAATATATTCCCATGGGCAACAAGTTTAAAAAAGGCTAAAAGTCAAACCTACGTGGCTTACGGCCAAAGTTAAAAAAAAAACTATAGATAATAAGAAAAGAGTTTTTATTAAATATAAAAATGAAGGAACGCTATCATCGTTTAAACATTACAAAGAGTATAACAGAATATGCAAAAAGGAAATAAAGGCTGCAAAAATTGAAAACGAACGACAGATTGCAAATAATAGCAGGACCAACCCCAAAAATTCTTCAAATATATTAATAGTAAAAATGTCTGGTCCAAGCATGTAGGCCCTTTACAAAATAATCTAGAGTGGGTGACTGGGGACAAAAGAGAAGGAAAATTTATTAAACACCTTCTTCAGCTCCGTGTATACGAAAGAGCATGGGGAGCTCTTGTCCATAATGGGCATGGTATTGACACAGCTCTAGATGGTCCACATTGGCTCACAATTGATATGATCCAGAAATATTTAGACAGAATAAAGGTGAATAAAGCACCTGGACTGGATGGCATACACCCTTAAAGAATTGAGCTCTGTTATTTCAAAGCCATTGTTTTTCATTTTTAGGGACTCTTTAATGACTGGCATAGTACCACTGGATTGGCATAAGGCCAATGTGGTACCTATATTTAAAAAGGGGTCAAAATATTTACCAAGTAATTATAGACCTGTTAGTTTAACATCTATAGTTGGGAAGATACTGGAGAGTTTAATAAAAGACCACATAGATGAGTTCTTGCTGGAAACAAATATTTTAAGCAACAGACAGCATGGATACATGAAAGACAAAAGTTATAAAAAGAAATCAGATTTGTTTGATGAGGAAGTGAGCAAAACCTTGGACAGAGGGGTGGCGGTGGACGTGGTATACTTGGGTTTTGTAAAAGCGTTTGACAGAGTTCCCCACACGGCTAATGTGTAAGGTAAAGTCTACAGGCTTGGAAAAATCTGTATGTAAATGGATAGAAAACTGGCTGAAAGATCGTATTCAGAGAGTAGTGGTTAATGATTCATACTCTGAATGGTCTAGGGTTCTCAGTGGTGTACCCCAGGGTTCAGTGTTGGGACTTTTACTTTTTTATTTATAAATTTATAAATGATATAGGGTCTGGGATTAAAATCCCATTTCAGTCTTTGCAGATGAAACCAAGCTCTGTGGTGGAATAATGTCCTTACAGGATGTCTCCAATTTACAAGCCAACCTCGATGCACTGTTTATTTGGGCAACTATGTGGCAAATGAGGTTTAATGTTGATAAATGTAAAGTTATGCACTTGGGAGCTAAGAATATGCATGCATCATACATACTGGGGGGAGTACAACTGGAGGAATCAATGGTGGAGAAGGATCTGGGAGTTCTGGTAGATCACAAGCTTAATAATGGCATGCAATGCCAAGGCGCGGTTTCTAAAGCAAGCAAAATCCTCTCTTGTATTAAAAGAGGTATAGACTCCAGAGAGAGATATCATATTACCCCTGTACAAATCATTAGTAAGACCTCATCTGGAAAATGCAGTTCAGTTTTGGGCAACAATTCACAAAAAGAATATTGGGGAAATGGAGAAAGTACAGAGAAGGGCAACCAAACTGATAAAAGGCATGGAGGAGCTCAGCTATGAGGAAAGATTAGAGGAACTGAATTTATTCTCTCTTGAGAAGAGGAGATTAAGGGGGGATATGATCAACATGTATAAATACATCAGTGGTTCATATAGTGAACTCGGTGTAGAGTTATTCACCCTGAGGTCATCATAGTGAGAGCTGTGAAAATGTGGAATAGACTGAAGAGTTGGTTCTGGCCAGATCAGTGGATTGCTTTAAAAAAGGTCTGGATTCTTTCCTAGATACACAGAATATAACTGGTTACTAACACTTATAGGTAAAGTTGATCCAGGGAATATCAGATTTGATCTCTCTGGGATCAGAAAGGAATTTTTTCCCCTGCAGGAGCAAATTGCATCATGCTTTGCTGGGTTTTTTGCCTTCCTCTGGATCAACTGTGGGTGTAGGATTATAACTGTTTTTTTTTATGGTTGAACTGGATGAAGTTTTGTCTTTTTTTAAGCTAGACTAACTATAACTATGCTGCTGTGCTCCAGCCAGAATGTGGTTCATCTTTTTCTGAGCCACTCGATTCCTGGTGCTGCCCTGGTAGTTGATATACGCCACTGCTGTGGCATTCTTGGATTGAACCCTGACCACAAACTTGTGCAAATGGTTCATCCAATAATTCAGAGCAAGGAGTACTGCCCAAAGTTCCAAGATATTGATGGGCAGTATTCTCTCCTGTGGAGACCAAGTCCCCTGAACTGTAGCCACCTCCAAACCAGCCCCCCAACCGGAGAGACTGGCATTGGTGGTTACTATCTTCTAAATCACTGGAAGGAAATCTTTCCCTTCTCCAGATTCCAAACAATCAACCACCAATTTGAATTCTGCAATACCCCGGAGACAGAGCCCTCTGGCAATCCAATTCTTGGACCTTCATGTTCCACACAGACAGAATGGGGTTTATTTACTAAAGCTGGAGAGTCCAAAATCAGACTCCCTTCTGCATAGAAACCAATCAGCTTCTAACCTCAGCTTGTTCAATGAAGCTTTGGCAATGAAACCTGGAAGCTGATTGGTTTCTATGCAGAAGTGAGTCTGATTTTGGACTCTCCAGCTTTAGTAAATAAACCCCAATGCGTCTCTACAAAAGAACTGTAGTGGAAGTGCATATAGGGAACCGCTTCAATGTAGATACCATTTCCTCATGCAGAGAGGCCTAATGCTTTATTTCACACAAATTGTTTGTTTTATTTCAGCTCTATGATAATATGTGGGCAAAACTTCAGCGTGCCTTCGCAATTTGGAGTGGCTTTGGCATGACACTAACTGGAGTACACACTTGTGGGGACTACATGTTCAGTGGACATACAGTGGTCCTCACCATGCTGAACTTCTTTGTAACAGAATGTAAGTTTACCTCGAAAGATATCTGTCTTTTGTGCTAACGTCAACCTGCTATTTAACTCATCTTTTTTGTATTTCTGTAATTGAGGAAAAGGGATGAGGGGCTTTTTAAAACTCTAATCCATACCTGAATGGTGTAACTAACCAGTATGGTATGTTACATAATATGAACTTCAATGTTTCTTCACATATTGGTGTGGATTTGGCATGACACAGAATTATATCTATCATGAAGTGATAGATGTGATTCTGCAAAGAAAAAAGGTTGGAAAAGTAGAAGCTGCACTTTGAAAAATTCTGTTTGTTAATATAACTTACTGTATTTCCTATTATATGGTGTTCTGGAGCTGTAATATATTGGGCTCATTTACACTTGCTTCAACTTTAACACACATTAAAGCGCCTACTGCTTCAACATGCTTTTTTTTATGTTTTTTGATGCTTTGGTGATGCTTCTTTGAAGCTTTAATGAAGCTTGGTAAATACTCTGTGCATGTTGATTTTCTATTTGTTTTAAGGGGCCCAGTAGAACCCCAGCTCAGTAGTACCCCACTCAGCAGATCCCCAGCTCATTAGTACCCCTGTTCAGCAGATCCCCTGCTCATCAGTACCCCCATTCAGCAGATCCCCAGCTTATTAGTACCCTAATTCAGTAGATCCCCAGCTTATTAGAACCCTTGTTCAGCAGATCCTCTTCTCAGAAGTAAGACCAGCTCTGCTGATCTTCCACTCAGTAGTAACCCCCAGCTCTGCTGATCTTCCACTCAGTAGTATCCCCCAGTTCTGCTGATCCCCCCCACTCAGTACTAACCCTCAGCTCTTCTGATCCTCCTCTCTGGTCCCCGCACACCTTCCACTATATAGCTACCATGCTGTGCACCATGTGTGACATCTGCTAGTTGCTCCGCTCCAGTCCAGATCCCGCTTACCTTCCTGCTGCTTCATGCTGCACACCAGATGTAATGTCTGCTCCAGACACTTCCAGATTATATACACATTAACTGGAAGTGACTGCTGATGACGTCTTTCCTGGTTCGCTTGCTAGTTTCCCAGCGCTTCCTGGTATATCTCATACTTCCAAATAAAGCAAAGCTAACTCTGAATAAAAGCCTGTCAAAAGCTGCAGGTGCTGTAAACAAGCTTTGTCATGGACTCCTATGAAGGCTTTGGAGATGCTTTGAAGCACCAAAAAAGCGACATGGGGTATACTTTGTTAAGCAAACACAACACATGAACAGGACTGTAAGCTTACTATTTTATTTAGTGGCAGGTACATTGATTGGCATTCAGAGTGCTTTCAAAAATGGGTGGTAAATGTCACATTTTGAAGCAAGTGTACATGATCCCTTAAATGGAAGTAGTATCATATCTGTTTAAGGGACCAGCGGCCTTGAATTTCCAGTTCTGCCTAACTGCTGCAGTCCTTGTGAAGGCAGCTCACTCATTCTGCTTCATCTTAATGTAATGCTCTTGAGAAAGGCGGAGATAGTCTTTAGTAATGGTGGAGAGTATCCAGCTGATTATGTACACTGGTGTCTAATGGGGGAAGAGGATAGTGGGAGAGTTAATAATTTGAGACTAATATGTGCATATATGTTTATAATGTTTGTTCTGTTTTTCAGATACACCTCGAAGCTGGAACTTCTTACACACTCTGTCCTGGGTCCTAAATCTTTTTGGCATCTTCTTCATCTTGGCTGCACATGAGCATTATTCCATTGATGTGTTCATTGCATTTTACATTACTACAAGACTCTTCCTTTACTACCATACTTTAGCCAACACGCGTGCTTACCAACACAGCAGGCGGGCACGCATTTGGTTCCCTATGTTCTCATTTTTTGAATGCAATGTAAAAGGACCTGTTCCTAATGAATACTGCTGGCCTTTCTCTAGGCCCATCTTTCTGAAGAATATATTAGGCTAAGAATATTTTCCCTTCAAAATGTGGCCGTTTTTAATTTGAATGTTTACAACTAAAACTATGCTGTGATTTATCACTTATAGCATTTCCACTTCCTAAATTCTTCGGCTTATAATGTGGGCAGGTACTTACAAGCATGATGCATTTGTGCTGGCTGAAAAGTGTTCCCTCAAAAAGAACTACTGCACTTAATGAAGTATACGAAGATCTAAACTCTAATATACTTTGATGGTCTTGCACAAACACAACGATACGCTTAAAAGTCTTAACCAAATGGCTTCAGAAAATTGTACTTATACCTGAGGAACGAACGCTCATCCACGTTTACTTTAGATTCTTGTTGAATGGTTAATAATAGAAATATCTTTAAACTTTACAAGGCTTAAGTTACGGTTTATCAGCTACTGAACATCTGTGGATATTCAGTAAATATGTATTTTAGGGCTTGTTCACATGTGTGTTGATTATGAAGAATGAAGCAATGCTCATTAATGCACCTATAGCATTTATGAAAGTAAATGTAAGTATGGGGTTTACCAAATAAAAAATTTGTACTCACCTAGGTAGATGCACCATCGCTCCAATGCTGCATCTGTCCCCCACCACCTCTGCACTGAGAACTGAGTGATCAAACACCGCTGATTGCTTAGTTCTCCCCTCCACTCTGAGCAGAGTCTATCAGTAGCCTCCTCTTTGTTCCACTCCTCACTGGAGCACTGGACTGGGGAGGGGTGGGAGCGACTGGCTCAATTTCCCAGTGGCACAGCTGAGAGGCTGAACCAGCTGCCAGTCCAGGCATCTGGGTGGATCCCGACTGTAAAGTTGGGGTCTTCCTCTAGCTTGGATCGGCTCAGTGATATCAGTCACTGAAAACAGGTTACAGGAGTGCAGAACGAACTGTACTCCTGTGATCCATCGAAGTATAGCCAAAGAAGCTTTGGCAATACTTTTCCTTTTCATGACATGTTTTCTTTGTGTTTATGAAGAACTGTTGAAAAAGCTTCAAGAATGCTTGATAAATACCCATGAAAGTGTTGTTTTCTAGGGGGAAGTCATGTAGAGGAATTGATGTACTTTGATAGCTGGTTAGGTTGTGGTGTGATAGCAGACATTTTTGTGAACTCTCTGCACAATGAATTTGTATACTTTGATCACTTTGACACTTGGCTTGGTCCAGCTCGACTTTGCTGAAATAAAAAAATTTGCCATTGCTAGTAATACTCAATGCCTTTGCTCCTGCCTGGCATGGTCAGCATTGCTGGCTGGTGGATGCTTTTGTCCACACACAGAATCATCTGGGATACAGGGACCTCCACGCTACACACCCCCCCCCCCCCCCCCACCCCCGCGCACACTTTTTAAATGCTTCATTAACCAACCATAAATGCTATAGGTGCTGTTAAGGTGTGGTTACAGAGCATTACCATTGAGATCAGTGGAGGTGGCTGACAAGCTTCAGTTCCTCATGAAAGTGACATGCTTCCTAATTTTTAACACAACACTGGCATTCCTGTGTGTACTGTACTGTGTGGTGCCATTGTAATATTCATGTCAGGTGTTGAAGGGCAGTTATGAGGCTTTAAAAATGCTGAATAAATGCCGCATAAACACTTGGTATTGACACACTTGTGAACAAGCCCTTATAAAGGAGATCTAAAATACTTAAGAACCACTTGGAAGCTCACTGAGATCTTTCATATTATCAAATTCCCAGATATTAATGAATGGGATCCCATGCTGAAGGAAGAAATACAATTCAGGTAGAGTTGCGGCTTAGCAGAGGCTTCCATTTAGCAAAGATTATATCATATATTTGGTCACATGACTAGCTACTGTTGGATCTGGAGCTGCAGGTAAGTATTTCAGGGCTTTTGTGACCTTTCCTGACTTATAGTGCTAAAGGGTGGAGGTTTTTTACCATCATGCATTTTATGCACAAAGGTGAAAACCTTGAGTGTGCAGCGTCCCTGGCAGCCCCCCTTACCTGAGCCTGATCTTAATCCAGAAGTGTGCACGAAAGCATAGGCTCTTGGGTTTTCTCTCTCCTCATTGGCTGAGACACAGCAGCAGGAACCATTAGCTTCCACTGCCCTCAATCACAGCCAGTGAGGAGGGAGCTGGGGAAGGGACTGAGCCACGCTCTGTGTGTCCCATAGACACGCAGAGGCAGCTTGGGAACGAGCATGCACAAGTTCCCCCAGAGCAAGCAGCTTGCTTTGGGGGCATTCAGCAAGGGGGAAGGGCCAGAAGCACCAGCAGGGGACCCGAGAAGAGGAGGATCGGGGCTGCTCTGTGCAAACTGTTACACAGAGTAAGTATGATGTGTTTATTATTTTAAAGATTAAAAAACAAGCCTTTACAACCACTTTGAAGGATAACTTAACCCCAAAACAAAACTGTAGCTTAGCAGTGCTTAGATGTGGTGGCTGCATTAGCTAACTTTTTATCAGACTAAGTAAATTTGCAGTGAGTACGTAAAGCAACCTGTTTACCTTGTTCCTGTGATCTTAACAGAAAGCATCTTTTTTGTAAGCTACTTATCCCATCAACCCCATGTAATGGAGATGAACAAAGGCAGATATATGTCAGTCCTGGGTGGCAACCATGGCTCCCATTATAAATACATTGTGAGTGTGAGTAGCCACCCACAGACAGGACGTATTTATTTTCAGGGTAAACAGGTGCAAATAAAAGAGAAAAAAGACTCAAAATAGAAATTTAAAGTGGAACTGCACTGCATCTGAGCAACTAAAAATGCTATTTAATTCTTTGTTCATATTCAAAGCAAACTCCCCATCCATCCATGTCTCCATGTTTTATTTTGCTGAAAATTAATTTTGCAAAACACCCCCTGGTATTTCTGGCAGTGGCCATCTTGAGTAAGGTCAGATGATTCATGTAGCATTTACTTCCTGGAATCCATCTGCCCTTCATTCAGGTATTGGTTAAGCTGAGAACCCTCCCCTTCTGAAGGATCCTGGGATGTGTGACATCATTTGCCTAGGCATGGAAACCAGGAAGTAACTGAAGAAATAAAAAAAAAAATATATGATATACTTTCCTATGTCTTTACTAATGCTAGCAGCATAAGGATTACAAATAGTCCATGTGAAGTTTCCACTTTAATGCAGCTACTACACCTAAGGACTCATATGCTATAATATATTACATTTTTGTTTTTTGGGGTTTAGATACACTTTTAATGTGACTATGGTGGGGGTTGAGGTGGCAGTTTTCTTATTTGAGTTATTTCTCCCTCAAAAACATATGTACATATTTACCAAATATATTGCATATTTAATGATAGCAGTAGAAGTAGCTGCTATAAGCATTTCTGTTGGTTTTATTTGCAGAGAGGTTTACATGTTCCAAAAATCTCTCTGACCTATAATTATCATTTTTGTTTGATATTAATGACATGGCTGCTATATTAACTCCACTTGCACTTATTCAGTATTTATTGAACAGTTTTTTTTTTGATGCACAGATTTTGGTAAATTATTTTCCCAAATATTGTGCAAGGTCGCAGTTACTCTTTATCGAGTATATACAAGTCTGGTAAGGTGTTTCCACCAAATCTGTCCAGAATACATACCTACAGTTATACCATATAAACTGTACAGCCAGGCCTATTTTTAAATCTGTGAATAATGTTTATTTGTATATAAGATTATATTGCAAAAAATGGAACTCTAAGTAAAAAGCAGTGAGGAAACTGCTGCAGAAACAGAAATCCTTGTTTCTATTTCTTTATTGTGCTTACAATATACATAAAGAGTCATCACTGCCTTCTTATGTGACCTGTAATGTGATAACTCTCCCCCTTGTACTGACTTTCCTAACACAGTATCCTCATATGTAGCAGCATCACCAGTACTTACCTATCCCAATCAAACAGCATTGGTCAAGTGATCACAGTTGTATGTGTAGGGGGGGAGCACCGGTGTACAAAGCAGAGCTGCCATCACCACTAGAAAAGTCCTCTGATCCCCTTCAGCTGGGAGCCCTTGGATGACATCTGAGAAAACCAGGGACAACCGTTTCTTCTGGAAGGTAAGTATATGAGCTATTAGTATGATGGGTTGGTTGGTAAGTATGGGAAGGACATGTGTTATAAGACCACAGGTCTGCTTTCAGTCAATAGAACTCCAACATGATGAGTATTTTTCCCCTCTGTGTTCACTGCCACTTCATTTTATGGTCCTGATCATGCAGTAAAACCTGTAATTCTGAAATGTGTCTGCCATTAACATTGTACAGTCTATATTGTACACAATCTATTTTATATTTGATATAAATGTTTTGGAGATCTGTGTAATTTACAATGCAGCAAACTGTACCAGCCACAATAATTTCCCACTCTAATATTGTGTACTAAATGATGTGAAGTTTATTTGACCTGTACACTGGATGTCAATGTTCATCCGGCATGTATAACTGGTGTAGTATAACAAGATGGTAGACTGTATCTAATGTTATGCTTCATTAAAACTGCAGTCGCTTTTTTATTGCTGTCTATGTCACTTTAGGGAAAACTTCCCTTTACATCCTGTTTTTATCCAACAGGGACAGAGCCAGGAATAAAAGAAATTTTATTTTGTAAAGAAGGTTTAGAACCTCTTTCAGGTTTTTGTTGTCTCTATCCCTGTTAAGGAGATCACTTTACTTAATGAGACTGGGAGTGATGTGAAATCTCTCTAACAGGAACCAGATGTCAATAAACACCTGACGGGTTCTAACCAACATCCTTTTGCTAGAGTCCTATTTTAACTCTAGAAAACTTGTTTGGCTCCTCCACACATTGCAAAGCCCATTCTACGTTTTTCTTAATTTTTTTATTGATAAACACTTTTTTAGTGTTTGAAGAGCTACATCTGAACCAAAATCACAATATTTGCATCTGACATTGAATCTGTAATTGTTGTTTTTACACTATATCCATAACTAGTAACCTGTATCACATTATGGATTTCCGTTAGCCCAATGGTGAATTTGGGATGTGT